GGAGTTCTAAAGAAACAGCTATGAGTTTGCTCAACTGGAACAACAGAATTGGCCAAAAACAGGGCTTAAAGTCGGCGAAATCGCCGATGAGTATATGTCGCTGAGACCGCTAACTTTGCAGGAGCGTAATTCCGCGAGTTTTCGACCAAATTTCGTACTTTTGGTGTCATTACCATCGGGAAAAGATTCTCTATCATTACATAAGAATTTTTTTTTCCCAAAAAAAATTTTGCGACATAGAATGACAGTTTCAGAAAGGGGCTTGCAACAGGTTCAGTCCTGTACAGTCTTCCTTCCTGACATTAGTGCCTTCTTGAAAAAATCCCTAGGGTATCTCAGTTTAGTGACTATGTTGAACATCTTGCTGATTTTGTCCTCTAAATACTACTCCGGACTGCAGATGCGCAAGGCTCTCAAGAACACTGTGAAGAACACACTCCTTTTTAAACCCTAGATTCATGACTGGAATAGTTATGAATGTATGATGACACACTGGTGGATTTCCTATAGAATGTCATAGGGCAGTTGGCACACAGACCATTGCATCACATTCAAAGAGTCTGTGACTGGTGTCAACCCATCCTGTGCTACTTTGAGAAAAAAAGTCACCCTCAATCCTTCAGTTGCTGCCTTGCAACATTGCATAACTGTATCAACTCCCATTTTGTATTCAATTCCCTGTAATTTAATCCTAACCTTCTCCCCAACACCCTAACAACTGCTTCTTTTACAACCACATCTATAAATACATTAAATAACCATGGTGATATTACACATCCCTGTCTAAGGCCTACATTTAACCCTTTCAGGGTCGGCAGGCACTCTCCTAAACATGTTCTCTGGGTGGGAATTTTTCAAAAAAAAAAAAAAAAAAAAAAAAAACACACACACACACACACACACACACACTTATGAAATGATAGAGATTATTTTTTCGATCATAATGATACCAAAAGTATGAAATTTGATGGAAAACTTACAGAATTATGCTCTTCCAAAGTTAGCAGTCTCGACGATAATTACACATCGGCGATTTTGCCCACTTTGAGCCCTATTTTCAGCCAATTCTAATGTACCAGTAAAAAAAAATCATACCTATTTTGCTAGAACTCCATTTTTTCTATCGAATGAGTACAAGAAACTATCCATTTACCAATTTCAACTATCCAATAAAGTGGTCAGAAATTGGCAATTTTACCAATTTCACACAAATTTCAAAAGATGCTAATTTCCAAATAGGGTCCAGGATAAACAAGACATACATTCCTGGAACTAAAATAACATTTTCTCTGTTCATTAGTCACATCCCCAGGCCCCTCTTACATTTCTTTTGCTCTCCACTTTGAATTCTTATTCTTCTCAAAAAATAGAAGATTTAGTGTTATGCAGACTACTGCATTAGTGTACAAATGGTATAAATAATATCAGCGCACTTGTGAAAGAATATTAGACTCACCAGTTGACGTGTATTAGACGCATGGCATGATTTGTTTACTTTTGAACTTTGGTAAAAATTGAACATTTCTGCTACTTTGAACTCAATTTCAAGGTATTTTTCACTGTGAAACCAATCAAAATCATCTCATTTTCTGTAATATGTCTTCCATTCTATAAAATGAGACCAGGAAAACTAGAACACAACCATCAATGAACATTAAAATGGTATAAAATACCGACAGATTGTTAGGTAAGACACATATGCAACAGTTAGGTATCTTTATTTCGAAATAAAGATACCTAACTGTTGCATATGTCTTACCTCACAACCATCAATACCATACGAAAATACACTGCAAAGTCACAGTTTTAAACCAAAAACACAGTCAAGAGTTTTTTTTTCTCATTATGCACTGTGTGCAGCAGGAATTTTTTTATACTGTGCACAATGACCACATGAACCCATTCTTTCATATGAAGGCCTACCAGCTTTCTCTCACTAGATTTGAAGGCACTACAATTTATGCGTACTAGAATGGCACCAACCTTGGGGTGCAAGCCATACTAGTACGGCACCAACCCTGAAAGGGTCAATGGACGAAATCCCCCTCTCCTACACATCCTGAGCCTCACTATCCTCATATAAACTCTTTACAGTATTTAGTAACTTGCTACCTATGTGGGACAGCGGACCTCCATCAGCAACAGCCTGGTTGACCAGGCAAGCACCAGACGAGCCTGATCCATGGCCGGGCTCAGAGAGCACATAAACTCTCGAAACTCTTCAAAGATAAGGTAAGGTATATCTACTTTATACACTAGCAACATGTGCCACATTGCTCCCCAATCCACCCTATCATATGCCTTTTCTAAATCCATGAAAGCAATGAAAACTTCCTTACCTTCGTCTAAATACTTTTCACATATATGCAGTAATGTAAACAATTGATCTACACATCCCTTAACCCCTTGACTGTCGCAACCCCAAATCCTGAAGTGTCTACTGGTGTAAAAAAAATTTTGGAAAAAAAAAAAATCTTTACGAAATGATAGAGAATCTTTTCCCAATGGTAATGACACCAAACGAACGAAATGTGATGGAAAACTTACAGAATTATGCTCTCACAAAGTGAGAGACCTCTGTAATATTTAAGAATCGGCGATTTTACCCACTTTGAACCATATTTTCGGTCAATTCCATTGTTTCAGTCCACCAAACTCATAGGTATTTCTTTATAACTCCATTTGTTCTATTGACCGAGTACAAGAAACTGCCCATTTGCTAATTCCAACTACCCAATACCATGGTCAGAAATTTGCAATTTGGCCAATTTCATAGAAATTAAAAAATATGCATTTTCAAAATAGGGTTCAGAATGAACAAAGCAGACATTCCTGGCTCTAAAATAACATTTTCCTTGTTCATCAGTCACTTCTCCAGGCCCCTCTGATGTTACTCTTGCTGTCTATTTCGAATTTTTTTTTCAAACAAAAAATAGAAGATTTACTGTTATGCAGACTACTGCAATATTGTAATAATTGTATAAATAATGTCAACCCATTCATGAATGCATATTAGAATGGCTAGATGGACATTTATTGGACAACGATGTCATTTGTTTACTTTCGAACATCGGCAAAAATCAAACATTTCCCTACTTTGAGCTCCATTTCAAGGTTCTTTTCACAGTAAAATCAATCAAAATCACCACTATTTCTATAATATGTTTTCCATTCTATCAAATGAGACCAAGAAAATGAAAATACAACCATAAATACTATACAAAAATACATCACAAAATCGGCGTTTTAATCCAAAAACACGGGTGGAGTTTTTTTTTCTCATTATGCACTGCGTGCTGCAGGATTTTTTTATATGGTGCACACTGACCACATAGACCCATTCTCTCACATGTGGGCCTACCAGCTTTCTCCTGCTTGATTTGAAGCCACTAGAATTTTTGAGTATACGTGTATATACGTCAAACACGGTGGCTCGTAAGGCGTATATATATATGACCGAAACAGTCAAAGGGTTAATAATGTGTGAAGTCAGTAGTGTTTATTGTAAGAAGTCAGGTGTGGTAAGTATGGTAGCCAGCCAGGCCACCCCACCCACACGTAATATACTACGATATTTAATGTGCCCAAGAGCAATAAGATGCAGATATATAGTGTACACTCATTACTTACCTTAAAATAATAGTAGTCTTAATGGTCTTAATATAGGGTGCAAGGTGAATATTTGTAGTCATGTGTGGTAGGTATCATAGCCCATGTGGCCACTCTGAGTGGCAATGTAAACAGACAAACACAACTGGTGGGTCGATAAAAGTTCATTTCCATACTTGTAAAGCTTATACTCATAATAATACAAACACTTTGCAATGTGTACAAGTTGTCTCCACACTGGTACAGTAGAATAAATAGAAGCACGCCCATTCTTATGTAACACACCATTTTTAGAGGGAACGGCGCTCTGAGTGAAGACATACGAAAGGAATAATTTTATAGTTACCCCAGTAATACTACTGTGTTCTCATTTTCTTTGGTGTTGGACTAGGGAAAATGTTATTCTTTCGGACACTCCGACAACTGCAAAAACACCTCCTATTTACGTTAATTTATTCTGTGGGCGTATTTATCATGTTTATATGTTATAGTGTTTATTATATAATTTTGAAAAAAAATATAAATGGATTAAGCAAAATGTCTATACATGTGTTAACATTTTATACGACATTTAATGCGCCTCCGAGTGATTATTATTTATGTGGCATCTTCAAGACTAACAAGACACTTTGTGATTTTCATGTGTACCTGCATCCCATCCCTGCTACAGGAACACATAATTATCAGAGCATATATAAAATAACTTTAACCCTTAAACAGTCCAAACGTATATATACGTTCACCTGTGCAGCGCCCTGAATATTTTGAGAGAAAAAACAAAAAAAAATTTTATACAGGAAGAAAGAACTTGCGTTACCGAGACGTCCCCAATTTTTTTCATACGGCGCACACCTGAGTGCGCACAAGCATTCTCGCATGTCTAGGCGACTCAGGCGTATCGTGCCAATGTTGAATGAATGACAAAGGAAATGTACACATACGTTTGGGGCGCTACGCGAGAGAACGTATATTTACATTTGAACTGTTTAAGGGTTAAAACACTTGAAATTTTGGAAAGTTTCCAAACAATGGAGAGATGCAGTGCTCATGGAGAATGTAAACAAACCAGGTGGGGCGCAGTGACTGTATTAGAAAAACAGCGGAAGCTGTATTGCAAGTTTTGGTCATAATTTGAAATTTCTGTAACAGTAGAACGCCGTAAAGCGGGGCCCTGCTGTACGTTTCTTACTATTTCCCACTGGTCTGCTTACAACCATCATTCCTCAGTAAATATCAGGTGATATTTCCATTATCAAATCCAGCATATACACCACCGAATGTACAGTTTAGGGCAAACAGAATTTATCATTGGAGCGAAGAAAAAAAATTAAAATTGAATGATACAAAACTGGTAATGCTTCACCTTTCTTAAGACAAGTAGTAACACTCACCCCTGGTGGATTGTCCTGAGTGGAAGGCTGAAAGCCTAGCCCGCTGAAGCTTCCTGGCAGGGACTGACTGTCCCCCTGCCAACCAGACACCTCCTAAAAAAATCAATAAAAAAGCCTTGAATATAAAAATATATGTAAAGTAATAAATAATAAATATTTAATTACCATACTATTAAAAATGAACTCAAACTAAGATAAACTCTAAAATACATCAAATAAACAACCTTTAACCCTTTCAATGGAAGGTCATGTAGAATTATGTAACTAAGGTGAGGGGTCCCTCATGTAGTTTTATGACAAGCTCATCCCACTCAAAAAACTGTAAGCCGTAAAGTTTGGCCTATACATGAAAGAATGGGTCGGTGTGCCAAGTTTGCGAAGCATAAACCAAACCCTGCCACATGAGGTGCATGATGGAAAAAAGAAAAACACGAATATAATTTAAAATAGTATATTCGAGCGTTTTCTAGAATGTTGTTTATGGTTTTATTGGATTTTTCTTAATATCATTTAATACAATGAAAGACATACTACTAAAATGAGATTAAAAGTCAGGCTACACAAGACAGAAATATTAATTTTTGCCAATAAAACAGACCCCTGATCCATTTTATGAATTCTTAACAGGTCTGAATGAATTATTGAAATGCTGTAAACCGTGACCAATCATTCCTGGTTACAGTAGGGCCCCACTTATATGGCAGATTAGGTTCCAGGCTCCCGCCGTAATGCGGAAATTGCCATAAAGTGCAACACCTCTTATTTCCACTTATAAATGCATACAAATACTAGATAAGTTTACATTAACATATGTTAAGTTAGTAAGTTTATTCAGATATACACAAATGCAGTTACACATATTATCATACATAGCAGCATATGTGTAAAGTACCTAGGATAACCCAAAAAAGACAGTGCGACTTATTTCCATTGGGTTAGCAGTAGAACAAGGCATTAAAAAACAACAAAAAAGTAAAATACACATATAGTACACTCATTACTTACCCTAAAATATTTGCAGTCTTAACCCTTTCAGGGTCCGTCCCGTAGATCTACCGCTTTACGTTCAGGGTACAAACCGTAGATCTACGTCATGAGCTCAGCTCACTCTGATAAACTGTGAGTGGTACATTTGGGCCTAGATATGAGAGAATACATCTATGTGGTATGTGTGCACCACATAAAACAGATCCTGCAGCACACTGTGTATGAGAGAAAAAAACTGAAATCATGATTTTTCGATTAAAACAGTGACTTTGCAGTGTTTTTCGTATGTTTTTATAGTTGTATTTGCAATTTCTTGGTCTCATTTGATAGAATGGAAGACATATTACAGAAATAGAGATGATTTTGATTGGTTTTAGCACTGGAAATGGCTTGAAACTGAGCTCAAAGTAGCAGAAATGTTAAATTTTTGCCGATATTCAAGAATAAACAAACGACCTCACACGTCTAATACATGCCAGCTGGTGGGTCTAATATGCATTCACAAATATGGTGATGATATTTATACAATTATTACAGTATTGCATAACAGTACATCTTCTATTTTTTGGTGTGAATAAAAATTCATTATGTGAATAAAAAATCAAAATGGAATTTATTTGTAAAGCCTCAAAACGTAACTAATGAACAGAGGAAATGTTAGTTTAGTTCTAGGAATACCTACATTGTTTATTCTGGACCCTATTTTGAAATTGGAATATTTTGAACTTTGTGTTAAATTGGCCAAATTAACAATTTCCGATCACTTTAATTTGTAGTTGAAACAGTTGACTTGGCGATTTCTTGTGCTCAATCGATAGAATAGAAGTAATACTAGTGAAATAGCTAAGAATTTGGTTGACTGGAATAATGTAATTGGCGTAAAATGGGAGTCAAAGTCGGCAAAATCGCCGATTCGTAAATATCGCTGACACATCAAAATTTGCGAGAGCATAATTTCGTCAATTTTCCATCAAATTTCGTACTTTTTGTTTTATTACCTTCACAAAAAGATTGTCTACCATTTCATAAGAAAAAATAAAAAAAAAAAAAATTTTAAATTCTTGGGACACTAGGGCACCACTTCAGATTTGGGCCTTGGACCCTGAAGGGGTTAATCTAGGGTGAGAAGTAGTATTTATTGTAAGAAATCAAGTGTAGTATGTATGTTAGCCAGCCGGGCTACCATACCAGGCCAACCCACCCACACACAATATTCTATGACATTTAAGTATCCCAGAGCGATAAAATGCATATACAGTTCACTCATTACTTACCTTAAAATATTTGTAGTCTTAATGTAGGGTCAGAGGTGAGTAAAAGAGATAATACAAATAAATGACAGAGAAAATGAGTACATGACAGAGGACACTCTTGGAGTTATGTAAACAAACCAGACGAACGTGAGTTATGTACACGTCTGGTTTGTGTACAAGTTGTCTCTACGCTGATACGGTAGAATAAATAAAGAGGAACATTCCCATCCTCATGTAACACCATTTTTTAGAAGAAATGATGCTCTGAGTGAAGGCATACGAAAGGAATAATTTTCTAGTTACCCGTCACTTGTACAAGTAGTCTGGCTCCCACATCTCATATTTATGTTTATTTATTCTACTGTGGGGTGTATTCATCATCTTTATATGTTATGTATCGTGTTTAATAACAAATCCCCAGGACCTGATGAACTGTTTGCAAGGGTGTTAAAGGAATGTAAAGAGGAACTTAGCATACCTTTGGCTTATCTTTTTAATATATCACTACAAACTGGCATAGTGCCTGATAAGTGGAAAATGGCAAATGTAATACCTATTTACAAGGCAGGTGACAGGTCCTTGGCTTCAAACTATAGACCAATAAGCCTTACCTCCACAGTGGGAAAATTTATGGAATCAATAATTGCTGAAGCAATTCGTAGCCATCTTGAGAGGCACAGACTGATTAATGAATCTCAACATGGTTTTACAAAGGGGCATTCCTGTCTTACGAATTTACTAACTTTTTTCACTAAGGTGTTTGAGGAGGTAGATCATGGTAATGAATATGATATTCAAATTCAATTCAAATTCTAAGTTTATTCTCTATAAGGATTACAATGCTGAGTTTACAGAATTTGGTTATTGTGTGGTTTACATGTAGTAAAGTACTAATTACAGAGGGTGCCACTAGAACACCTAGCATGGCTAGGCATTTCGGGCAGACTTAGATTAATTCATAAATTTAAAATATTACAAATTATAAGTTAAGTTGGTATTATGGCTAAGTGACTAAATACTAGTTTGTGAGTTTAGCAATGTGAATGATTTTGTTTTGGCACAATACATAGTTTCAGTATCGGAGTACCACAGGCCAACTTATGACTAGTTAGGATTCATTATTTTAAGATTGAGATTGATATTTCTGTTTATGTTCAAATGGGGTGAGGCGAGTGTTGTGAACCCACCAGGGGGTTATTCATGTAATTAGTTGATGGGGTGTATCAGAGAGATAAGATGTTTTCTAATGGTAGTTTTAAAGGTGTTGAATGTGTCTGCAGTTCTAAAGTTTTCAGGTAGGGTGTTCCAGATTTTAGGGCCTTTGACATACATGTCATGAAGATGTTTGTGTCTGGTGTTATGCCTGTGGGTTCTGTCACAACTATCAAGAAAGTGTTTTAGGTAAAGGTTAATACAGTGGACCCCCGCATACCGATGACATCACATAGCGATTAATCCGCATACCGCTTGCTTTAATCGCCAAAATTTTGGCTCACATACCGCTTAAAACCCGCTCACCGATTTCGTCCGAGACGCGCCAAATGTGCGGCCTGACCCACGCTCACATGTTCCGCCGGTGGCATTGTTTACCAGCCAGCCTCCGCGGTAACATCCAAGCATACAATCGGAATATTTCGTATTATTACAGTGTTTTCGGTGCTTTTTCTGGAAAATAAGTGACCATGGGCCCCAAGAAAGCTTCTAGTGCCCCAACCCTACAGCAATAAGGGTGAGAATTAAATAGAGATGAAGAAAAGATCATTGATAAGTATGAAAGTGGAGTGGTGTCTCCGAGCTGGCCAGGTTGTAAAATAAACCCCAATCAACCATCGCTACTATTGGGGGGTACAGCTGCTGCTGCTGTAGCATCGTCTGCTGCTGCTGAACTTCGTCTGTTGCTGCTGTAGCGTCGTCTGTTGCTGCTGTACCACCGTCAGCTGCTGTGCTGCTGTAGCATCGTCTGCTGCTGCTGTAACATCGTTGTTGCTGCTGTAGCATCGTCTGTTGCTGCTGTACCCCCGTCAGCTGCTGCTGCTGCTGTAGCATCGTCTGCTGCTGCTGTATCTCGTCTGTTGCTGCTGTGGGCATTGTTGTTGCTGCTGTACAACCGTCAGCTGCTGCTGCTGCCGTAGCATGTCTGCTGCTGCGGTAACATCGTCTGTTGCTGCTGTAGCATGTCGGTTGCTGCTGTACCCCCGTCAGCTGCTGCTGCTGCTGTAGCATCGTCTGCTGCTGCTGTAACATCGTCTGTTGCTGCTGTAGCTCGTTGTTCGGCTGCTGTACCACCGTCAGCTGCTGCTGCGCTGTAGCATCGTCTGCTGCTGCTGTAACATCGTCTTTTGCTGCTGTAGCATCGTTGCTGCTGCTGTAGCATCGTCTGCTGCTCCCTGTAGATCGTCTTTGCTGCTGTACCACCGTCAGCTGCTGCTGCTGCTGTAGCATCGTCTGCTGTGCTGTAACATCGTCTGTTGCTGCTGTAGCATCGTCTGTTGCTGCTGTACCACCGCACGCTGCTGCTGTAGCATCGTCTGCTGCTGTGTAACATCGTCTGTTGCTGCTGTAGCATCGTTTTGTTGCTGCTGTACCACCTTTCAGCTGCTGCTGCTGCTGTAGCATCGTCTGCTGCTGCTGCTGTAACATCGTCTGTTGCTGCTGTAGCATCGTCTGTTGTGCTGTACCCCCGGGTCAGTGCTGCTCCCTGCTGTAGCACGTCTGCTGCTGCTGTAACATCGTTGTTGCTGCTGTAGCATCGTCTTTTTGCTGCTGTACCACCGTCAGCTGCTGCTGCTGCTGTAGCTCGTCTGCTGCTGCTGTAACATCGTCTGTTGCTGCTGTAGCATCGTCTGCTGCTGCTGTAGCATTGTCTGTTGCTGCTGTACCACCGTCAGCTGCTGCTGCTGCTATCGTATGCTGCTGCTGAAAACATCGTCTGTTGCTGCTGTAGCATCGTCTGCTGCTGCTGTAGCATCGTCTGTTGCTGCTGTACCACGTCAGCTGCTGCGGGCGGGCTGTGGGCATCGTCTGCTGCTGCTTTTAACATCGTCTGTTGCTGCTGTAGCATCGTCTGTTGCTGTTGTCACCGTCAGCTGCTGCTGCTGCTTTTGCATCGTCTGCTGCTGCTGTAACACGTCTGTTGCTGCTGTAGCATCGTCTGTTGCTGCTGTACCACCGTCAGCTGCTGTTTGCTGCTGTAGAATCGTCTGCTGCTGCTGCTGTAACATCGTCTGTTGCTGCTGTAGCATCGTCTGTTGCTGCTGTACCACCGTCAGGGCTGCTGCGGGTTTGTAGCATCGTCTGCTGCTGCTGTAACATCGTCTGTTGCTGCTGTAGCATCGTCTGTTGCTGCTGTACCACCGTCAGCTGTTGCTGCTGCTGTAGATCGT